CATCTCTGTGGGTGCAGAGGGGTCTGGGTGATTAGGAAAGCAAATGGAGTGTTGATGTTTATTGGGAAAAAAAGACAAGAGTGGCAAAGTTTTACCAGAAGGGTACAGGGCCCTGGTGAAACCATATCTGGAATACTGTTGTAGAGTTTCTGTTTAAAAAAGGATATAGCTAGCAGTTTGAAGAAGACTTGCTCACTTCCTTCCTGGGATTAGGGTCTTATCTTACAAAGTTATTTGGAGTTGAGCAGAATAAGACATGATCTTCTTAAGACATATGGGATCCTGAGGGGACTTGACAGGGTGAATATGGAGAGGTGATTTCCCATTGAGAGATGAGACTAGAACCAGAGGACACGGTTTAGAAATAAGGGAAGATGGAGATGAGGAATTTCTTTCCTGAGTCTTTGGGATTCTGTCTTCCAGAGACTAAGCCGCTGCATTTCATTGAAGAATCATAGAATCCCTACAGTGTGGAAACAGGCCCTTCGGCCCAACAAGTCCATACTGACCCTCGGAGCATCCCACCCAGAACCCATCGCCCATAACCCCCCCTCCAATCTACACATCCCTGAACACTATGGGCAATTTAACATGGCCAATCCACCTAGCCTGCACACCTTTGGACTGTGGGAGGAAACCCACACACACACACTGGGAGAATGTGCAAACTCCACACAGACAGGTGCCCGAGGGTGGCAGTGAACCCGGGTCCCTGGCGCTGTGAGGCAGCAGTGCTAACCACTGAGCCACCGTGCCGCCCCAAGGGTTAGGGTGAGTTATCCGAGGCTGAGTTAGACCGAGTTTTAATCAAGGGAGTTGAGGGTTGGCAGTGTGGGGAAGCAGACAGAAAAAGGAGTTGAGACCCCGATTGGATCTTAACTGGCAGAGCAGACTCAAAGGGCCAACTGGCCTCCTACTGTGTTTATCGAATCATAAACCCATACAGTACAGAAGGGGTGCTTTGGTCCATCGAGTCTATACCAGTGTATAGACAACATGGTAGAAGTATAAGTGATATTGTGAGCTGGAATCTGCTTCTTTTGTAGTGACAATGTAACAGAGCAGTTTATTTTTAATTTGCACAGTCCTGGAAGCGTTGCTTTTGATTTTATCTTTTCTCCCCCTGGTGCGCTTTACCCCGTCTCTGCAGCCTTTCACTCTGTGACCTTCTCCCACAGCCAGCAGTGATGACATGACCCTGACCAGCCCGAGTATGGATAACTCCAGTGCTGAGCTCGTTCCTGGAGGCGACTCGCCACTGAACAAGCGCATGACTGAGAACCTGCTGGCCAGCTTGACTGAGCACGAGAGGAAAGTGATCCAGAACATTCCAGCTGCCCAGAATCAGGAGGACCTGCGCATGCTTGCAAGGTAGATGCTAACCTCACTTTGGTGGTTGGAGAGAGAGGAGGGAGGGGAAGGTATGGGGTGGTGCTGCTGTTCAGTGATTCCTTGGTGTGCCTAGATGACCCCCCCACCCCCCGCAACCAAACCACCACCACTGTCAAAGAGGTTAATACCAACACGGTGGCTCCACTGCTTCCTCACAGCGTCAGGGACTCAGGTTCGATTCCAGCCCTGGGCGACTGTCTGTATGGTGTGTGCACATTCACCCTATGTCTGCTTGGATTGCCTCCAGGTGCTCTGTTTCCTCCCACAGTACAAAGATGTGCAGTTTGGTTGGGTTGGTCCAGTTAAATTGCCCATAATGTCTAAAGATTGTGCGGGTTAGGGGGATTGGCCCCGTTAAATTGCGCCGTAGTGTCCAGGGGTGTGTAGGCTAGGTGGATTGGCCATGGGAAATGCACGGTTACGGAGATAGGGTGGTGGCGGTGGTGGTTGGGGGGCGCGGGTCTGGGTGGGATGGTCTTCAGAGGGTTGTGTGTAGACTCAATGGGCTGAGTAGCCTGCTTCCACACTGTGTATGTGTGAGACTGACTCATTTGCCTTTAATCCAACTCATTCACTCGCTTGCTTTATATTTTCTATTCACTTCTCTCCCTTTCATTCCCTTGAGCATGCAGTCTCTTATGCTGTCTCTCTGTCTCCATGTCGCTCGCTCTGTCTCTCGCACCTATTCGTGTTCCCTCACTCTCTTGCATGTGTCTGTGCACTCCCCTTCTTGTGCCTGCACTCACTATCACATGCAGGTGCCAGCACACACGCACTCCCATACACCGGTGCATACATGCACTCTCTCTCACCTTACACATGAAAGTGATGTCCGCCTGTCTGTCTCTCTCCTTTTCAGACTCTTGCATTATTTCCGTGGCCGCCACCACCTCGAGGAGATCATGTATAACGAGAACATGCGACGCTCGGTGCTGCTGATGCTGATCGACAAGTTCCGCAGCGTGCTGGTCGTTCGCAATCACGAAGATCCCATCATTTCAGTCTTCCAGTCTCCCTTCGTGTGAAGAAACATTGTTTTTTTTTCAACCAAAATAATAACCGAGGGACTCAGGTTGGTGCCAACCATCCACCGCCCAGATAACATTTTGAACCTTTTCATTTCGTCTGTTTGCTTTATTTTATCCTCCTCGACAATTTTACTGCTTCCTGCTCACCAGCCGATATTCAGTTCTGAATGCTTGTGAGAGATCCCAGGATAGCGTGCAGCCCCTGGCTAACTGAAGGTAAAGTTGTCATAGTCCCTGAGAACAGTCGAGCTACCCTCTCTCGTTAGAGAGAGACCAAATGACGATGGTTTAACCTGAGGGGTCACCACACCTCGGGCGTGGATCAAGGTTGAGAACTTCGTGGTAACCTGAGCCAGTGCAGGAGTTGAACCTTCACTGTTGGTTTGGCTTTGCTTTGCAAACCAGCCATGCAATCAACTGAGCTCACTGACACACGTCTAACTAGGGTCAAGTAGATCAAACCTAAACCAGTGTGGCCACATAATCAGGAACAGAATTAACAGTCGCTTAGACGTGTGCATTAGGGAAAGCAAATTGTGTTTGAAGTAGCTTTGTTTTCTCTTTTGCTTTTAGTGAGCTAGCTGAGAGGCTCAATGAGGGTAGTGAAGTTGATGTGATGCTGTTTCCGAAAGGTGTCTGATAAAGTGCCAGGCTTGAAAGCCAAGTTGGGAAGGGACAGCATTGATTGTAGGACAGGAAATGGAGGTTTTAACAGCTTGGTGAAGGTCTTTCCAGAGTTGGTACAAGGCAGCTCCATGGTTAGCACTGCTGTCTCGCAGTGCCAAGCACCTGGGTTCAATTCTACCCTCGGGCAACTTTCTAAATGGAGCTTACACGTTCTCCCTGTGTCTGCGTGGGTTTCCTCCGGGTGTTCCGGTTCCCTCCCACAGTCCAGGAATGTGCAGGTTAGGGTGGATTGGCCATGCTAAATTGGCTGTGGTGTCCAGGGATGTGCGGGTTAGGGTGGATTGGCCGTGCTAAATTGCCCTGTAGTGCCCAGGGATGTGCAGGTTAGGGTGGATTGGCTATGCTAAATTGTCCCGTAGTGCCCAGGGATGTGCTGGTTAGGGTGAATTGGCCATGCTAAATTGCCCCGTAGTGCCCAGGGATGCGCAGGTTAGGGTGGATTGGCCATGCTAAATTGCCCTGTAGTGCCCAGGGATGTGCAGGTTAGGGTGGATTGGCCGTGCTAAATTATCTGTAATATCCAGGGATGTGCAGGCGAGGTGGGTTTTAGCCTTGGGAAATGCAGGGATAAAGGGATAGAGTAGGGGGGGGTAGGTCTGGGAGGGACCCTCTTCAGAGGGTCAATGCGGACTCGATGGGCTGAATGGCCTGCTTCCATGCTGTAGGGATTCTGTGAATCTATGATTTTCGTGCTGTGCTGTGCATTAATAGCTGAGACTTGGCAGGGGCTGGGGGTGAGATCTGAAGTTGAGGTAAATCTTGTAAACTATGAGGAGGAGGTTGATGGACTTTCATGGAGTGTAGTCAGCATCATAGATAAATGGCAATTCAAATTTAAAAACAAAGAGTCAGCTTGATGCATTATGGTAGGGAGGGCAAAGAGAGGCCATACAAAATAAAAGTTGCGGTCGTGAAGCGGGTGCAGAGACCAGGGTTGGGACATAGGTGCAAAGAAATGGCAACGCAAGTTGAGAGAGGGGTTATCACAAAGGCATACAGGATCCTGGATGTTTTAAATAAGCAGCATAGAGCAGAAAGCATTGGAATGTCAGTTCTGAACAGGCGTCAGATTCAAGACATTAACTCTGCCTCTGTCTCCACAGATGGCTGAGTTTCTCTAGCGTTCTCTATGTTTGTTTCAGATTTGTAGCATCTGACTTTGCTTTTACTTAGTACACTTAGGGTGGCACGGTGGCTCAGTGGTTAGCACTGCTGCCTCACAGTAGCAGGGACATGGGTTCAATTCCACCCTCGGGAGACTGTCTAGATGGAGTTTGCATGTTCTCCCTGTGTCTGCGTGGGTTTCCTCTGAGTGCTCCAGTTTCCTCCCACAGTCCAGGGATGTGCAGGTTTGGGTGGATTGGCCATGGGAAATCTGGCGTTACAAGGATGGGGTTGCATGGTAGTGGGTCGGGGTGGGATGCTCTTCTGTGGACACAATGGGCCGAATGGGCTGCCTCAACACTGTAAGGATTCTGTGTTTCACTTCCAGTGCCTGGCTGCTCTGGCTGTGCACTGAAGTCATTGACAGAGTACCTGTCAGGGATTGTGTTGGCCTGTTATGTTACCTGTTCCACTCTGAGGGTGTAGATTTAAAAGGATGCAGGATGCCCCTTTGGTCTGTCCTAGAGCCACTTTGCCGTCTGCCTTTCCTGCTCAAAGCTGATCTGTCCAGCAGTCTTCAGTGCTGACTGGGCGATGTGATCGTTGAAGTGAGCAGGCAGCATGAGTTGTGTGGCTGGGTGATGACAGCATACAGCACCAGGGACTGTGCCTGCAAACCCCACTCCCTAACTGCTCCCCTACCCCATCACTCCCCACTGACAACCACATTGAGAGAAACATCTCGCCTGTGAACATCAAAATCAACAATATCTCAGTCCAGATCCAGCATTGTTTTAAGTTATTTATTTTCCTTTGCGCAGCCCATTCTTGCAACGTGTGCAATCGGTGCCCTTTCTGATGACAATCCAGCGGTAGCTTCACCTGCTGGGCACTCTAGTCAGGTAGGGCTGCAAAAGGTTTGACGAATGCAGTGCTAAAACATTAGGCTGGACTCTGTTGCATCGACTTGTGTACAGCCCCCTCCTCAAGGGGAAGGCTCTTTGTGCTGTGCCTGTTCCTAGCTTCCAGGCTCTGCTGCCTGGACCTTGACAAGCTCTAGTTGCGGTCTGTGAATACTCTAGCTCACATGGGAGGGCCGTACACAACTGGTGAAGACATTGTGGTTCAGGTGAAAGAGTGTGCTATGTTGGGCAGGAACTGCAGAGCGCTGGCAAAAGGTTAAGGGGTGTAGTGTCTTTTGAAAGTGGATGGATCACCACTCTATATCAGTCTGTCAAAGACGAGCATGTGAGGGAGAAATAGCAGAGGTTCTGACCATCATTTTGTAGTGTTCTGGGGTTACGGGTATTGTGCTGAACTGCAGGAGCCTGCTAATGTGGCGCCTTTTGTTTGAGGAAGGGATATAGACCAGGTCATTACAGACCAGTCAATCTAACTTTGGCTTGCTAATTATTGGGGAAAAATAGCACCAAGGAATGAATGGCCTCAATGGTCATTTAAAAAGGCACAAATTAATCAAGGGCAGTAGGTGTTGGTTTGTTAAAGGGAGGGTCTTTTCTGACCGACTTGATTTTGAGGAGTTCACCAGGAAGACGATGCAGGTGCTCCAATTTAGACATGTTCCGTATGGATCTTAGCAAGCATTTTGACATTAAACCAAATAGTAGACTGCTTTGGAAGACAAAAACCTGCATAATCCTCAGGCAGTTTGATTCTAAGACAGGATAAGTAGTGAGAGGCAAAAGGTAAAAGGTAACTGGGGTGGATCCTGTTTCCACAAGGCTTTAAAACCAGGTTCCTGGCAGTGTATCGGCGACTAGAGCCTTCAGCGTAAGCATGATTCTAACATTTGGAATGAATGCGATAATTGGCCATGTGGAAGAGAGTTACAAACTGCAGGAAGATAGCGATGGACTGGTTAGGGAGGGGGCAGAAGAGTGGCAATAGAGTAATGCATTTGGGGAGAAATAAACAGGACAAGGAAATTGTACAATAAACTTAAGGATTGTGAGAATCGTAACAGAGCAGGGGACCTTGGAACACATGTCCACAGATCCTTGAAGGTTCCAAGACCGGGCAGATCGGATCAGATAGTTCTGAAGAAAATTGGAAGCCTCATACATCTTGGCCTAATCAGAGTGTGTAAGGGCAGCAAGGTGTTTGCTGAAAACACCAGTCGGGGTGCAGCTAGAGTACGACATACTGTTCTGGTCACTGTATCACAAGAAGGATGTGATGGCACAAGAGAGGATGCAGAAGGAGGGTTTGCCGGGAATGGAAAATTTTAATGATAAAGGGTGGGGGGGGGGGAGGGGAGGTGGACAGGAGGTCTAATCGAGGGCTTAAAAAATTGAGGCACCATGCCAGGAGGGAGCTATTTCCATTTGAGAAAAGGTCAACAAACAGGGGATAAAGATTTAAATATGATTGGTAAAAAGATGAGGTTGGGAAGGGGGATGAAGGGGCAGACTCGAGAAGAAACCTTTTCGCATGGAAGCTGGTGGAGGGAGCTGCCCGAGAGGGTGATCGGAGCAGTAACCCTAAGATGTATGTGGATATAGACTTGATGCGTCGTAACATATGGGAGCAAGAAACTGGGTGTTTAATTTGGCTCTTTCTGAGCAGGTGCTACTATCCTCCTTTGGACGGTTGTTTGAGAGGCCTGGGGAGGGGGACGGGATGGGGAGGAAGGCAGTTTATTGCTCCAACGCTGTACTGCACAGCTCACCAGCTCTCCACACCTTTGTGGAGCTGCTGTGAACCTGGGGGAGAAAGGGGGTTTGTGTGACCCATTGCTCCAGCCCGCAGCTCTTAACGCCAACGGAAGATCACCCGCCTGGCAATGAAGGCAGTGAGCAGTTCCCAGTTGTGCCACACGAAGAACAGCAGCACAATTACTAAGGCAGTGCTGATAGTTCTCGCCCGGGTCTTGATGAAGGGCGCGACCAGGGCCGATATGGTGGACATCAGCATCAGAACGACAGCAAAGATGATGAGCAACAGGTTCATGGTCTTTCCCAGCAGCTCTCTGGTGTTGACGTGGTCCAGAATCTCCCCCTGAGCCGCTTGCTGCTGTTGCTCCAGCCGAGCCATTTTGCTCTGGAAGTTCTCCAGCACCTCCTGTCCAACAAATGACACAGGGACAAGGCAGAGGTTACGCAAGAGCTCAGTAAGGTGGGCCGATGAACACCAAATGAAACATGAAGACAGATAGTAGAAAGATGCCAGCAATAACAGAGAGCCAAGAACATCAACCTGAATCTAATGACCTAGCCTAGTGTTACAATCCTGCCTTGAATTTGTACATTTCTTTGTGACATTGAGTACAGCATTCAGAATCCAATAGACTTTCCACCCTCAGAGAGCAGATATTCCTCCTCACCCCCATCTAAATCAAGAGATTCTTCATTCTGAAAGCATGCCCCCACCTCTTGTTCTCGATTCCTCTCCCCACATGAGGTAGAGCAACAGTAAGGGACTCAAAAAAATTACTATAAATAAAAAAATAATTTATCCAGTCCTGAAGGGGCAGAGAGTTTGAGAATCCCTAGTGGCCTGCACCCGTAGATTTTGCCAAAGAGAGAAGTCCCATTATTGTAGATTTTCTGAAATTTCCAATGTTCTGGAGCTGTCCCCATACATTGTACAGTAGCAAATGCAATCCCTGGTTTCAGAATACAAGGCTGGTCAGAGGGTGAGAGAGGAATGTGAAGGTCAGTAGGCCTAACTTCAGTGGCAGGGGAAATTCGTAGAACCTTGTAGGGGAAGTGACAACAGAGATATCTTAGAGAATTCGTCACCTGGTTGGGCAGAGCGGAGATGGTGGCCTAGTGGTAATGTCACCAATAAATCCAAAGGTTCACCACCCTCTGAGTGAAGAGGTTGCTCCTGATCCCTGTCTTAAATGGCTGACCCCCTGGTTGTGGAGTCACCCACTATCAGGAGCATCCTTCCTGCACTTCCCCCTCTCTACTTCTGTTAGAAGTTTATAGGTTTCTACGAGATTCCCCTCTATTTTTCTAAACTCTGTTGAATATTGGTTCAGTCAGTCTTCGTACGTCAGTTCTGCCATCCCACGACTCAGTCTGATAAACCGTTGTTACCCTCCATTACTGCTACATCACCACTGCCTCCCCTGATGGGAAACTGAGCTGGCTAGACTGCATGAAAATTAGTGGTAGGTTTGCAGAACCTATGTGTTCTCTTGTGTGACAGAACAGCTTAGCATCGGAATCAACAAAAAGTTGGTTTGCAGGTGCAAATGGAATATTGTCCTTCATTGCTAGGGGGATGGAGTTTAAAAACAGCGAGGTTATGGTGCAGCTGCGTAGGGTACTGGTGAGGCCACATCTGGAGTACTGTGTACAGTTTGGGTCTCCTTACTTGAGAAAGAATGTACTGGCACTAGAGGGGGTGCAGAGGAGGTTCACTAGGTTGATTCTGTAGTTAAGAGGGTTGGCTTATGAGAAGAGATTGAGTAAACTGGGACCATACTCATTGGAATTTGGAAGAATGAGGGGGAAATATTATAGAAACATAAATTATGAAGGGAATACATAAGATAGAAGCAAGGAGGTTATTTCCACTGATGGCTGAAATTAGTAATAGTAGACCTAGCCTCAATATAAGGGAGAGCAGATTTTGGACTTTTTTTTTCTATTCATTCATGGGATAAGGGCATTGCTAGCTAGGCAGTGTTTATTGCCCAGAGGGCTGTTAAGAGTAAACCACATTGCTGTGGGTCTGGAGTCACATGCAGGCCAGACCAGGTAAGGATGACTGTTTCTTTTCCTAAAGGGCATTTGTGAACCAGATGAGCTTTTCCTGACAATTGACAATGGATTCATGGTCATGATTAGATTCTTAGTTCCAGATATTTATTGAATTCAAATTCCACTCTGCCATGGTGGGATTTGAACCCTGGTTCCCAAAGCATTATCTGGGTCTACAGTCCAACAATAATACCACGAGGCCATCACCTCCCCCTATGGGCTGAGTTGAGGAGGAATTTCTTCACCCAAAGGGTTGTGAATCTGTGGAATTCATCCCAGTGAAGCAGTTGAGGGTACCTCATTGAATGTTTTTAAGGCGAAGGTGGATGTTTGAACAGTAAAGAAATTAAGGGTTATGGTGAGCGGATGGGTAAGTGGAACTGAGTCCACTAAAAGATCAGCCATGATCTAATTGAATGCAAGTCAGGCTCGAGGCGCCAGATGGCCTACACCTGCTCCTATTTCTTATGTTCTTATCTCCTTATCTTTAGCACCGTCATTATTGCTACTTGAGTAAAGTCATTGTAATGTATCCTGGGGCTCTGGTTCCAACTGAGATAACAAGCTGACATGCTGCCTCCTGCTGACAGCTTCTCGCGGTTTCATCTTCGGACTCGTGCCACCTGGTGGGTTTTTGGAGCCATGTGCCATGACATATACCCATCCAGCCCTGTTGGATGTATGTTAGGGGTTTGGGAAGAGGGATTCCCGAACACTCCCATCCCCCTGAAACCCACAGCATGGTGCTGGCTCCTGCTACTGACCCAGATGTCTCTGCTGCTCTCATACGACTGGTAGGCGATCTTCTCCTCTAGGCTGGCCAACTCACTCTTCAAGTTCAGCACTTCATTCTGGTGAAGGTCCATCAGGTCATTCAGTTCGGCCTGAAGTTGGGTTGACCTAAAATAATGAGAAAGTAAATCAGTTCAGTCCTGTGCAGACAAAGCCCAGAAGTTGCTGTGTAACAACCTGCACACTCCAGATGTCATTGTTTAGCCCCATTGTAGTGTCAACCTGAAGCTTGCTGTCCAGTACCCCATTTCTCCTTCCTCTCTCTTTTCTCTCTCTCCTTTTTTTCCCTGCTGCTTTCCCACTCCATCTTCTTTCTCTCTCTCTCATACCCACTCTGCTCATTCACTTGCTCCATCTTGCCTCTTCCTCTCCCTCCCTTGCTCTTTTCCTCTCCCGACTATTCCTTTCACTGGAGTTTGTCCTGAAGGTTTGCAATCTAACTCTATTCCACCCCACCTCACTCTCCCTTCTCCATTTCCACCTTCTCTCTTTTCATCTTCCCACTCTCCTCCACTCCCCTTTTTACTCCCATCCCTCATTGCACTCCCCCCTCCTCACTTCCCCATTCCTCCACAGCCCAGCTCTCATCCCTCCGCATTTTCTCCGCAGCCTCTTCTCTTTGCTATCCCTTCTGTCTTCTTTCCCATTCTCCTCTCCCTTCACTCTTCTTTTTTATCCCCTTTATCCTGTCTCTTCACCCTGTCCCCTTTCTCCTTCCTCCCCTCTCTTCTCCCTCCATCCTTCTCCTGTTCCCTTCTGTTCTGTTCCCTCCACCTCTGTCCTCTTTAATTCACTTTCTTCCACCTTTGTCCTCCCCCACTCTGTCTCTTCACTTTCATCCCCTCTTTCTCTGCTTTTACCCTCTCTCTTCGCACCTCCCTTTCCATTTCTGTGTCTCTCCTCTGCCCTCCTTTCTCTTCCCACTTCAACCTTCTTCCCCCTCTCCTCACCCTTCACACATTCTTTATTTGCCCTAATTTCACATGCTCTCTTTCTCTCACGTGTGCGCCCTCTGTGTCCCTCTCTCTCGTGCGCGCGCGCGCCCTCTGTCTCCCTCTCTCGTGCGCGCGCGCGCGCGCCCTCTGTCTCCCTCTCTCGTGCGCGCGCGCGCCCTCTGTCTCCCTCTCTCGTGCGCGCGCGCGC